AGGAAAAGTAGTGATTCGACTTTTGAGGCAAATTTAGAGTGATTCATTTACCACAATGGAATAGAACTCCGTTACACTTGTCATTTCCGCCTCAGCTTGGCCAATGAATTCCTTCAATGTCTTTTAAAAAAAAAAAAACAGCATTTTTTTTTTCAAATGAGAAGTATCTTTTATAGTTTGGAATTAAAGAATTCGTTAATTGCTATTTCCAGGGTTTCTAAGCTACTACCTTATGAAAACCTTGAGATATTGGGCCATCATTTGCTGACGCAGCTAGTTCCTGCTTCGCGTTTTCCAGCCCCATGGTAATGGACTGCATTTCTTCTGCTAAAACTTTCAATTCTATCTGTAATTTAGAAATCCTTTCATTGGTTTTACATACTAATCATGAATCTGTGCAATTAAAACAGATGAAAATTCAAACCTCGGTTGCAGCTTCTAGGCTAACAAGATCCTCATGGAAATCTAAAAGGCTCGGGGACTTGGAAGCGATTTTCTGTACATGATTAAAAAAAATTTACGAATTAAAGATTTCACATTTTTTATTCAGTAGTTTATTACCTTGCAGAGATAATGCATTAAAGTCATCTTGCTATCTGAAGCTCGTGTATCTGTCAATATCAAGAGACTATCCAACTTGAATCCAACAGCAGCACCTGTAAATTTTGGATATTAACATCAATAAAAAAAAACTTATTTATTTATGTAATGATGTTGTTACCTCTAGCAGTTCCTTGATTTAATGTGTTCCCCAAATATAAAATTCTCTTCATGATTTCTTTCAACTTTGTGGACCTCCGCACCTCATCACATGCAGAGTTTACTGTGTTTAGACTCGTTTTGAATTCTGAAAGCTGAAACAAAATCCCAAGTCAAATATAATCACATCAAATATTACATTAACAATTACAAGCTAACCAACCTGAACGTTAAATTTCATTTTGAACAGAAAAACCCTTAATTTTGCATCCATACGTGGCACCTTCGTTAGCTCCAGGAAATACTTCGATAGCCAAGTAAAATTTCATTTTGATAAGATAAATTCTTGAAAGATATGAAATACAAAGTTATGGTGGGTTGATACTGACCTGTTCGCGCTTGCCAAGTGTCTCATAGTCATCTGTGAATTTCTGAACAGTCACAATGGAGAAGAAGATCAATACGTAAACGGGTTCAGAAATACAAAGTAAATGAGTTATGGCAATATGGCTTCACCTTGAGTTGCTCCATCTCTTCATTCGTGGGATAGAATTTGAGACAATCTTCTACTTGATCGGAATCTATAAGTTCATCATTCATAGCTAAAATTGCAGCCTGCAGAATCCAGATGATGGATAAAGTTGCAATTAGCGAATTGAAAACGGGTGCATAAGCCAACTTGATCAAAAGGGTACTTACCACCATATCAGGAAGTGGCATCTTAAGTTTTGCAAGCATGATTTCCGTGTTATTCGCCATTTTCAGATCAAAATACAATTGAGAATGCAATCATGGAAAGGAAGAGTGAGAACGCAAACAATCACGGGAATCTGAAGGACGCATACAAAGATCGCGCCAAGAACGTAAAAAATAAAAAGTAATCTTAAGGATAATGTACTCAATTCCAAACTCAATTCACCAATTCAATGAAAAAAAGACCCACAAAATAAAAAAAATTATCGTCAGGTCAGGTATTATGGTTATGATAAATGACGTAATCTAGGTTGGGGAAAGAATCTGCGATATTATTGTATTTATTGGTAGTAAGATTGATAGGGTTTTCTGAGAAATCATGGGTAAGATGATGGCGATCGAAGCAATTATATTGAATTCGATGATTCAAGAAATCTATGAAGGGGAGTGAGGAATATTGCAATTGATTCAGGGAATTCGTCACGGCAATGGAAATGCTTTGATTTCTATTGCACGTGGAATCAGAACAAAACACAAACGAGATTATGGAGGAAGAAAGGAGGGAAGGGAAGAACATTGATCAGTTTTTCTTTTTCATTATTGTATTTAGTTTGTTCTACGATAAATTATCAAGGAAAACAATAAAGGGTTGATTTGATTTAAGTCTAACTTACAAGAATGGTCCTTCAATTTTTCGATATTATTTTGTAATTTTGGATCTAAACTTCTAAATTTGCAATTTTGTTGCATGATGATGATGGTTATGCCCACGCCTATATAAATATTATATGTAATTTTAATATTTTTATCATATTAGATATAATGTGTTATTTTAATATTTTTATCATATTAATTCACTAGGTTTGTGAAATTAAATAGACTTTTGAAAATTAAATAGAGACTTTTGAATTGAGTTTGAAGGCTTGACAAACCGCAACCATCAAATATGCACTACCTACAACTCAACTCATTGTATAATGCAATATATCTCACTGCAAACAAAACGAAAAAACATGCTTACTACAAGACATATGATCTGTATGGTCCGACAATCATACCTGAAATGTCAGTAAAACACGTATATGATAGTAGGTTGGAAAACTCATTTCTTGGAAATATGATTATCGACCAGACATAACCCTTTCCTTATCTACACCATACAGTTCTTTCATATGAGTTTGACCATAAACTTTTAACCCTTTCCTTATTTACACCATCCAGTTCTTTCATATGAGTCTGACCATAAACTCTTACCCTTATAAATATCGAAATTAATATAACATATTTGTTCTCTCACACATTACTATTCTCTCAAATGTAGACCAGCTTAAGTGTTTAACGGTTAAGGTGGAGGGAGGTCTTCCCTCCCAATCCACTCAACTCATTGTTACATTAGTTTTTCTCTTTCCTTTTACTTTCATCTTTCTCAACCCACAACACATAGAAATCATATATTTCTCACCACTGAACCCACTTTTGAAGGAACATAAACCAGCGGTACCTCCCTAAACCGTCGGCAACCCAAACAACAACTATGTCCGCCCTTAGAGCGGAGTCTTGAAAATGGTTCGTCTAACAGTTCGTGGTGGTGGTGTTATATACGATAACATCAATTATTATGATGTTCTGAGATGTTTCCGAAAAGTTTTAAATTGGTTGTTATTTCTAAATGTTCGTAGGTGTTATATATAAACTAAAAAGTAAACGGAATCACAAGTTCGATTATTAACAATATGTCTTTACTCTAAAAGTAAGGCGAGGTGTTCAGTCTCAATTTGGTTAAAGTTTTAAGTTCCATTTAGAACATACATGAAATTTAGGAGTAGTTAAATCAAAATTAAAAATATAATGGAATTCAAAAAACTAATAATCCAATCCAATAACACGAATCCATGAAACTATATATTGTGAGTCAAAAAAACACTAATTGAAATATACAATTGCTATTATGCGTGTAAAATAATAAAAAGTACGAGATTTGAACACGTGATTGTAATATATATATATATATATATATATAATATATATATATATATATATATATATATATATATATATATATTATATATATATATATATATATATGGGAGGGTTCATGCGAAAATGCAAATAATTTGCGAAAACAAGAAAACCATATGATATTATGTCACCTCAACATTATATTTTGGAAAATAATTCATCCAAACTTTGAAATACATGATGATAATCGATGATAGATGATAGACTATTTCATATTAGCAAAGTATGATTTTTAACATTTTTATTATGAAAACATGAATTTAAAAATGATTAAGGACGTGAAAAAAATATAATTATAAAAACCGTCTTTAAATCTATATTATCATAACACCATCTAATGTAAACTTACTATCTTTAATTTATTGCTAATAAAATTATTTTTTTATAGTACATGTATCTAATTTTCATAAGATAAAAGTTGTTTTCGCGTTTTCGCAGGATATTTATATTTTCGCATGAACTTACTTCTATATATATATATATATATATATATATATATATATATATATATATATATATATATATATATATATATATATATATATATATATATATATATATATATATATATATATAGGGTTAGGTTCATTTGAGACCACCTATATTTTGTGAGACCGTGAGACGCATTTTTTTTATTTTTTTTATTTTTTTTTAGTTAATTCATGTTCCGAAAATAATATTTAAATTTTTTTTTTTGATTTTTCCATTTATTTTGCATTTTAAAATTATTTTTAGAATATGTACAGTGTAATATTCTATTTAGAATATTTCACGTATTTAAAAAAAATAGAATTTTTTTTATTTTTTTTATTTTTTTTATATTTTTTTTAGTTAATTCAAGTTCCGAAAATAATATTTAAAAAAATAATTTTTAGATTTTTCCATTTATTTTGCATTTTAAAATATTTTTTAGAATATGTCATTGTAATATTTTATTTAGAATATTTCACGTATTTTTCAAAAAAAAAAAAAAAACGGAATTTTTTTTTATTTTTTTTATATTTTTTTTAGTTAATTCAAGTTCCGAAAATAATATTTAAAAAAAGAATTTTTGGATTTTTCTATTTATTTTGCATTTTAAAATTATTTTTAGATTTGGTCTCACGATCTCACAAAATTAGAATGGTCTCAAATGAACCTGAACCTATATATATATATATATATATATATATATATATATATATATATATATATATATATATATATATATATATATATATATATATATATATATATATATATATCAATTTTACCGCATAACTCTTACTCGTAGCCCGTAAGGGTCTTAACTGGGCCTAGAAGAGATGACCGTTTCGGGTTGTTTGGAAGGTCCGTTTATGCATTCTAAATGGACTCTTTGAAAATATCAAGAATCATCAACATCGGTCCATTCAACCATTCTGTAGCTGTACATTCATATCTAAATATCTAATATCTTATCACTTTTTATAAGAAAGAAAACTAAAATCATAACAAAAAATACTCTAACCAATCTATGAACCATCAGACATTTTGATCTTTGAAACTGTCAAAAACTCTAAAAAGTTCAAACTTTTGAAACGCTTTCATCTTCAAAACTCATTCAAGAATCACGGCATGTGATGGATCGTTTTCAAAGGCTTTACCTTTTTGGAACGAACAGCCTGGCGAATCTGGCGTTCATGTCTCTCCAAAAGTTCATCAATTTGGTGGGATTGAGATAACAAAGGACCCGAATACTCAACTTTGTCTTCTTGATTCTGATAAATCTGTATCCAAAACTTCAAAACTTCAACACCAAAGAATCAATCGAAAACCTTCATGGGATTCACTAAATTCAAAATAAAAACCAACTTACCAAATCGATTTTCTTAAAAATAGGTAAATCTCGAGAGGGGTAACCATCAAATCGGCCTCTAGAACTGATTCTTTCAATCTTTTCTGAAAAAATTGGTTCTCTTGGATGTAATATTGAAGGTTCTGATATGCGACTTTTTGAACTCGATCGACTGTGTGATCTTATAGACGAAGGATCATCAAGTCGCCTTCTTGCCCATGCAAAACCACTTGAACCTGAAACTTGTAAAGGACCCGAAAATGGAATCTCTTCATGGGACCCACGGTTTATTTTGTTTACACGTGGCTCAAAACCTATGATTATGTCACTTTCTTTATCATGATCTAAACTAATTCCATTGATTTTGTGCCTTACTTCGTTTCTGATTGGCAAATTCTGTACAACAAGTCGTTCAAATATTAGAAAGTAGACATCGCATACGCATGATCATGTTTATATAATACATTTATATAACATAATATATATACCTCCTCAGGCATCAATTTACACATGCCATTAGGATAATTACTATTTAATCTTCGTGATGTTTCAGGCTCTCGATTTCTTTCAACATACCTCTTCCTGTAAAAATTACTCATAATGTAACATCCATAATTTTTTTTTATTGATATTGTAGAAAAAAAATACTATTCACATTTACCTTCTAGAGTGTTCCCGATGCTTTGTATCAATCTCTTTAGTTGGAGGGTATTTTGGTAAGCTTGATGGTTGACATGCATAAGGCTTGGTGGTAAAATACTGTTAATACCGTATCAAAGAGTAAGCTTCCAAAATGTGAGGACTTTGATTTTTTGTTATTGTAGCATTCTACACTCATGTTATTTCATATGTGATGTGAATAAGTTACCTCAGATTCAAGGGCAGAAGAAGCTGACCCACGTTTATAGGGTTCAATGGATAACAAAGTCTGTATAAGATTTACAGTGTTTTTTGGTAGATCTTTAAAAGTTTCCCATAAACAGCTTTTGTATGGACGTTGTGGTTTAAACAATGTAGCATGTGGAAGCTTTGACTTTTTCCAATAATCTTCACATGGTGATCCACAAAGCTTAAAGATTTTGTGCATTTGTTCAACCTGAAGTTACACCACAAAGAAAATGATTCCAAGACTTTTCCATTTTTGCTTCAAGAAACTCTAACTTTGACTTTTGAAAGTCAAGTATGTAGTAGTTTTACCTCAGTTCTACCCTGAAGAAGAGGTACACCAAGAAGAAGCTCTGCAAACACACACCCTATACTCCATAGATCCACTGAAGCTTCATAATCCGTGGACCCCAATAAAAGTTCAGGAGGCCGATACCATAAAGTAACAACTTTACTAGTCAAAGGTCGTTTATCATGAGCTACATTACAAAAATTAGCCAACCCAAAATCACCTATTTTTATAATCCCTTCATTATTTACCAAAAGATTCGCCCCTTTAATGTCACGATGCATTATTCCTTGTGAATGACAATGCTTCAGCCCCGATAACAACTGCTTCATGTAACACTTTATCTGTTTCATCCAAATCCCACGCTGATCGTTAAACAATCTCAAACTATAACAACAAAACAACAAATTGCATGAAATAGTAACGACTTCACTCTTCTTATCAATATAGGCAATGTACGTTGTTTATATTGGCAACAAGACTAAAGGGTTTTGCTATTGCATGCGATTTTTGACAATAATAAAGATACAAACTTTGCATGTTACAAACCTGGGATTCTGTGAATTTGATGTTGGGGGAAGATAAAAGTCCTGAAATGTCGTGTTCCATGTACTCAAAGACAAGGTATATGCTACATGATAACTGTGAGGTTATTATCCCATCTAGTTTCATGATATTTGGATGATCAAGTCTTCTAAGAATCACTATTTCACGAGCCATAAATCGAACACTTTCAGGTTCGAAATTGTCGAATCTCACCTTCTTTAGGGCAACTATCTTTCCCGTTTCTAGATCACGAGCACGAAAAACACTGCTGTATGTACCTTGCCCAATCTATTGAAACAATAACGAGATATGAATATCAGTGATTCGTTGAAGAAGTTATAACGAAAACATACAGTGAATTTGTTTGTTTGTGTAAAATGGTGAGGTAAAGTGATGAACCTTTTCTAATTTTTCAAAGGATTCGGCTTTGAGAGGCAACCAACCATGAATGGCTTCACCGGCGACTGCAGTGAGCCACGCCGGCCAACCAGCAGCCACCTGCTCTACTTCAACGTATGTATGTAAATTACCCAACCTAAAGCTCACCGACTCACCGCCGCCGATGGTGAAATTCGTCCTCCCTGATTCACCCAACTCGCTCCCATTCAGCCCTGAGTCACTCCTGGTATTCCTTTTCTTCTTTCTCCTCTTCTTGTTCTCTAATTGCGCCACCACATCATCGCCATTCCCATCTAAATTCCGGCCAGAACCACCCACCGCATTGTCCCGAAACCCCCCAGAATGATCCACCGCCGGCGTCACTGGCACTGTCTGTTTTGATGTTACACAGCCCATTTGTCACAGTGCTTCAAGAAACTCTGTATCCATGACAAATATTTGAGCCGAAAGCAAATACGAATCAAACCCAGATCAAGAATTGGGACGATCTTAATCGAGTCTTGTTTGATTCGCAATCTGGTGTGTAAAGATGACGGAAAATTCTTCTGAAGTAACTTTTTCTCTTTCTCTTTATAGAAATCTACCCCAAAATTGCAGAAAATAAGCAAGGGACCGGATCAAGTAACGAACACAGACATCCAGTTGCACTACTTTTCAGTGGTCTAAAGACACTAAATTTATTGGCCATTTTCAAAAGTGGCTGTATAAATATTAGCGAAAATTTTATATAATTTGACATTATTTTCATTTTCATTATTTTGTAGACTTGTGCAATTTTTTATGATATTATATAAATTAATGGTTAACATGCTTAATATAAAAAAATATATATTTTTATTAGATATTTTTTAATAAATAATATTGATTTTGTGTAACAACTGATTTACGATTTATCAGTAAACATTTTTTTTTTTTTGGTTTTAACTATCTTCCTAGTTTTTATTATACAAAACTTTCAATCCATAAACTTATGTTATAATGTTGAGATCAAACTCCATAACCAACTCTCATGTCATCATAAAAATGGAAAACTCATGTCATCATAAAAATGAAATCCCATGTCATCATATGGTTTGCTAGATGTGGTTACTTGTTTTTTTTTTTTTCTTTGTTCATCATATATAAAGTAGGGTAAAGGAAAAGGGCTAAAGCGGAAACATAGTGTGGTAAGCTTTCACTTTACTCACCTTGGTCAATGAAAATCAATATCTTTTACATTTTGACCCCACAAGTTATGATAAATATTACCCAAAGCACTAAATACATCATAAAAAGCTTCACATGATAATTGATGTTTCAACCGACGGGTGTCCACATTTTAAATGGATGGCTAAAATAAAGTATTTTATTGTTACTTTTCAATATGTATGATTATACACATCTCAACTGGATTTGCTTCTATTTTTGTGCCATTTACGTTAGCATATATTTTAGTAACAAAAACTCAACATAAATTCAAAATCTAATATATGAATAACATTTTTCTTTTTTGAAATTTTACAACGGATTCTTGGTAAAACAAAGTATGAAATAAATATAAAATGGAACGTCTAAAAGGGATTACAAAAAAAAAATAAAAAAAAATAAAAAAAAAAGGTATAACAACACATAGTGCAAATACACGTTATGCTTGTTTATATGTTAGTATATCGATCCATTGTGACACTAACTTGCAGTCGGTTGTCATCCTTATATCATAAGTCTAAAAAAATTGATTGAAATAATATAAAATTAATCAAGAAAATTGTTATACAAACATGTTATATATTCCCAAATAAATAAATAAAAGTCTTTTACATGTAATATATATATATATATATATATATATATATATATATATATATATATATATATATATATATATATATATAAATGAATTTTTTTTTTGTTTGTAGCAGTGAGATTGTATTTCATAAGAAATTATCTTTAATGGCGAAACACAACAAGTGGCACCAGAAGAAAAAAATTGTTGCATATGCCTAAAAAAAGAGTTGCATTCGTCTAGAATTGGGTTACATAATGTCCTAGAGCTTAATATGTAATATATCTAGAAAATAATACTTTATTAAATATTTAATGGAAGATCTATTTTATAAAATATTTCCAATCATATTAAAAATAAGTTATGATGAAAAAATGTTTTAAAAGCCATTTTTTGTAGTTTATAAAATTCCAAGTAAAAAAAAATAATTAAAAAAAAAAAAAAAAAAAAAACACCTAAAAGGTGAACTTTATTCACCAAATCAAATGCTTTATTACATATATTATCTTATGATATTTTATAATTTTCATAAAAAATTAAAAAAAAAAAAATTGGTTGACGGACCTTACTTTATTTTATAAAAAAATAGTTTAGACATACTTCAAAGTGTCCATGTATTTTCCTGGGTTTGAACTCATGACTTTCCGGTTATAAGCTTCAAATTAAACACTTTGTTAGTCAAATGGGTTAGTCCCAACTTGTACTTCTAGTGACTAATTGTTATGTATTGGTACCACTTAGAGGCAATGACATTCTAATATTACATGTATAACGATCATAAATGGCTTAAGATGGGCTTAGTTAAAGGATCCATGACTTCAGTAGGAATTTTATAAATCTTAACATCGTCTCTGTCAACAATAACACATAAGATGATATTTCATGAAAATTTGCATGAGTGTTGTCACAAAGAATTTCAATTGGACTTTAGTTACTTATTGTGACTCTACGATCCACAATAAACTTCTTGATCCAAACAACTTACTTCGGCGACGCATCACATGTTTCTTGGGACTTGAAGTAATCATAGTCAATATTTGAAGTTAATGTTGACATGTTGTGTAACACAATTCCTCATCGGGGCCTTTTTTTTGCTAAAAATGTATTTTTAGCACTTCATAAGTATTTCATGAGTCTGGTATTATATGGTTTTATCCGTAAATTAGGTAACTCTTTCATCATTTTGATACGATTTTTACAACTACATTGATATAAAAGAGTACCTTAGCCGGGACTTAAAGTCGCCATAGTCAATTTGGAAGTTCATGTTGTGTGACACATCCTCAACAAGACCTCTATTTACTAAAAATGTGTCTTTAGCACTTCATAAGTACTTAGTGTGTTAGGTATTATAAGTTTTTATCCTTGAATTATGTAATTCCACGGGAATGCATGGTTAACTTGGGCACAGCACATATCATCATTCTAAAGGAGCAGTTGTTTTGGGTTAAAACTATTTTTTTTTTTGGCTAAGATACTCCGGTCATGATTGATCATGCAAATGGCTAATGCCTTGTAAGGTGGTTAAAAACCATCAAGGTTAAATCGAAATTAAGTGATTATTCTTTCACATTAGGGATAGAAATGAGGCGAGTATGGGCAGGGTTGACCATCATTGTCTCCATCCCAAGCGCCTAACCTCGTCCTCATCCCCATCCCCATCCCCATCCCCAAGCGCCTAACCTCGAATCCACTCCCCTTTAAATTTTAGGCTTTTCCCCGGCACATACTTGACCCATCCCCTCGAATCCACTCCCCTTTAAATTTTAGGCTTTTCCCCGGCACATACTTGACCCATCCCCGATACATCAAAATAATAAACTAATTTATGAAAAAAAAAAAAAAAAAAAAATCAAGTTTAGTAAGTCATAAAAATCAGATGCCATAATCAGATTATGTTTGCATCAATCATAAAATCTAACAAGCATCAAAACAAGAAGTGACGATTTAGTATATGGACTATCGAACAAAGTGAGGATTTAAGAATTCTTGGAATTAGGAACATAATTTGGTATACGATGACAAAAATCGTTTTTGTAAGATATGGATGATAAAAAAAACACCTTCTGGAATCGATGAAGAAGTTGTTTGCTGCCATTTTCTTTCTTATTCTTAATTTGATACCATGAACACACCAAAGTGTGTGTTTTTACTCCTAAGGGTCGACTAACCCCCCTCCATTTGGCCTACAAAATCACCACAATCAAACCACTCTCCATCACCCATTCGATGTCCCCTCTTCCCTCTATATTTTCCTGTCAAAAATCAAAATCAAACATCAATTCCTCCCAATAATTTATGTTCAAACAATTAAAAAAAATAGAAAGAAGAAGATTAGGGGAGCTGCTAGAGCAGCCCCCGTCCACGCACCTTTCAACCACCGAGAGCAAAACCCAACGAAGTGGGTGTTTCCCCGGAGCAAACACGAGTGGCGACAACCCCCTCTGATCCCTCGACCTCTTTCCTACTGTGACGATACTGCTGCCTTACCCCATCCCGTTCTTCTCTTCGGCACGTCGAACCCAGGAAACCACATCGCTGCTTCTTCACGTCTTCGATGCTTCGGCCTCATCGAGCCCCAGAGACGACGATCCTCTTCCTAATGGATCGACCAATTCCTACGGGGGTTTAGGTTAAAATCCAAACTTTGGATCGTGGTGGCTGAAAGCTTTCGATCGACTCCTACGGGGGGTTTTCAAAGTGACATCGGTGGTAATTAAAAGGGAGATAAATTAGGTTAAAATCTAGCATAATTATAGGAAAGTATTTGAGGAAATTATTTATTTTTATTTTAAATTTTGATTGACCCACATTTATATATAAGGAACACAATAAATACTTTAAACACATCAAAATATATATATATATATATATATATATATATATATATATATATAATTTCATCAATGTAGGGGTGGGGCGGGTTGGAGATTGGTATATCTAGCTCTGGCCCAATCCCCAGTTTTAGCATAATGGGATCCCCAGCCTCTTCTCCGATACCCGTTTTTGCGAGGAATACTCGTTCCCAATTGGACGGGTCAACCGGGTTCCCCACCGGATCGAGTGAAATTTCAATGTTTATTTCACATGAATATTTGAAAAACTCAAGTTCTTCTTACCTAGTTGTAGATTTTGGTATTTTGGATCAAGGTTAAAAACTCAAGTTCTTCCAAATATTCAACAATATACAACCATAATAAAAACATACAAAAAGTTGGGACGACATAAAACTTCCATAAACTTTTAGATTGTTTATGAAAAAGCCTTCCATCTTTGTTTAAGCAGAAAATGACCAAATTTGTTGAAAATTTATCAAAAAGAAAAAAAACTTTGACGGAAAAAAAATCAATCAACCAGTCAAGTGTTTTTTTTTAATGATGTTTTTTTTTTTTTTTAAATCGATATTTAAGGGATTTTTTTTTCTAAAATAACTATTTTTTATTTTTTATAGCTATTATGCTGTCTTACTATAATGTTACTAAAAAATCAATATTCACGATATGAAAGTATTATCTTATTATATTCTCAGTCAAATACACTTTTCATCAAGAATATATGATAAACATTATCATCATTGTCGTCAAACAACCATACTCATTCTCGAAGGGAATTCTCACAAAGCGCCGACAAATATTATATTATATATGAATTTGGACTTGAAATTCTGTCTTCAATCTTCACCTGATCGTGACTCAACGTCACAGTATGATGATCAAATATGGAAAAGATATCCAATATTTGTATGTATTTATATCTATGTATCTTTCAAGTACTTCTTCCTAGGCATGCTACTTTAGAACACAAAAATATGTCCACATTATACTCTGACATGCTCAAAATACATACAACAGCAAGAAAACAGACCTTGATATTTTTCATGAGTAATCAGAAGAAATCTTTTTATTGTCATAATCAGATTTATAGTAGAATTTAATAAAATGAGGCATTTTCATTATTCTGAAACATATGTAAATGGCAGCAAAACTGCAATTGATATCTTTTCCATTGTTGATCTAATATTATCAAGTAAAGCTTCAGAGGTAGCTTGATGAACAAACCAAGTTGAAAATGAAGGTTGATGATGTTGATTGTTGAATGCATAAAATGAGGAGCAAAAATAGCCACTATGAGTAGATGTTAGATGCTATGGAAATTGAGAATTCAGGCAAAATATCAAGCACAAAGTGTGTATCTGTGATACAAATTTGCAGACAAAACTTATAAAATAAAGACCAACAATAATCATACCATAAGATCCGAGTGAATGGATTTATGAATATCTTTAGCTCATTTTTTGTTACTTTGAAATTGAGACCCACCCACAAAATAAAAAAAATAAAAAAATAAAATAGATGACTGTCTCAAGGCAAGGTACAGACAGGTGTATGGTCTTTAGGTTTGTACTTGCCAAGCAATTCATCGATGCTTCTGCAACGACATTGATTCCCTGGACGAATTACATCGCCATAAACTGCCATTTCAATGATGTCCAACTCCTTTTCTGTAAACCATATCATGTCATTGTTACTAGATACAGTCAGTTAACTTTGTATAAAATAAGCATTTTTTCCTTCGATATTATCTCAACACATTTCAATTCATGATCAATGTGGGGGGGATGCACGTAAAGAGGTGAGTGAGGGAGAAGAAATACCAGTGAAGTTGATATCACAAGAGTAACCACGCAACTGTGTCTTGTCAAGATGATCCTTGTCCGACTTGGTTCTATTTACCCTCGTTTGAAGAATCTGACAATTTTCAACTACCGATTCACCACCTACAAAATCAATCACACGATTTTAGCTCCTACAAATTTTGATAGATTTTCTTCCACAACTCCCTAAGCATCAAAGGCTATGCATCACAAAAGCGGATCAATATTTGAGAAGCTTACAGAGTTGTAAAGACCTTTCGAGAAGGGGATGATGTGATCGTATTCAAAGCAGAGACATCCCTGACAGTTGCCGAAGCGCTTACAGACGACGTTGCCCGCGGCATCTTTACGCCATCGCTCCGGGTGTCGTCCAGGGACAATATCGGCTTTGGCCCAGCACAGTTTTTTGGTCATGGAGTCAAAGAATCTCGGTCTCTCCTCCTTCCCGCTGTTACTATTATCGCCACCTCCACGATGCCGCTGCGGCGATGAGGGGGGAGGAGAACTAGAGCTCATGTTGCCTCTCTCCGGCCTCTCCTCTAAGAAATTAATTGGAGGGGACTGCTGAATTTGGGATGGAAGGTGTTCGAATAAATGCCCCAAAGAACTCCTTTTCTTTCAAGGGGCAACAATGCATCATTGCATAATTATGCAGTCACGAGTAAATTACATTTTCGGTCCTTCAGTATAGTTTAGTTTTCCAATTTTGGTCTTTAAATTCTTTAAACTTTTATTTTTGGTCCTCACTTTTAAGATTTTTGGTCCTCATTTGGGGTTTTCTTTTATGTAAAAGCTTTGTACTTCTCTTGATAAAACGCAAACTCAATGTTTCTATGATTTGTGCAAATATTTAACTTGTAGATAGATCAATTTATTTGCCAAAGCATTCAACATCAATTACCAAAAATAATGCCCTTCAATTTTAGCAGCTCAAAACGAAATTGGAACTACAATTCTACAAATCTAACTAAAAAAAGCCCAAGAAAATAAACATTGCTCTCGAAAACACGAGGGAAATGAATCGTAATAAAACCATCACACAATAATTATTTAATCATACTAAATATACACATTCGAATTGAGTAACATTTATTTACCCAAAGTACGACATTCGATTAATATATGACTTGTTTAACCAGAAACTTTATGTAAATGTGCACAAGCATCAAGAAACTTCAAAACAGACTCAACAAGCTCTGCAAATTTACCACACGCTACAGTAGTATCCAAAACTAGCTTCGGCACATCCCCTACATCATAATCGGTGCATCCGTTATAACCCTCCAACAACCTTTCCATATCCCGCCATGTGGCGGGCTTATGCCAACTGCCATCACAACCGTCTTTCCCTCTATTCTCAAGCCGACGACGCCACTCAGTCTCGTCTTTCGGCTTGCACTCAACCACAACAAGCTGAGAGCCGTCAAAAGAATCGGCTAGTTCAAGTAGCCGATCCAGATGGCTCTTGCGGGAAAGAGGCGAGTCAATGACAACACTCAGGCCAAGACTGAGTTGGGTCTCGACCATTCGCCAAAGTACTTGATAAGAAAGATCATTAAGGAGTTTAGAAACAGTGTGTGACGCCACTTCTGCTTCGATAGCAGAAGTGGAGTCACGTATGTCGTCTTTGTCAAGGAGTGGGCATCTTAATGATGCGGCTATGAAGCGGGCAAGTGTTGTTTTGCCTGTGCCTGGGTGTCCCTTCATTGCTACTATGACTCTTCTCGGTCGACCTTCTTCGTGTTCCATTGGAGATTAATTTAATTTCTGTTGTTATATAGATTGAGTGTACTATTTTCCTTTAGCACGAATAGTTGGGGATTTTATAGGGGTGAGGTGAATGTTACATGTCCTTTTCCGCTCATCTCAGATAGTTTTCTTTATAGATAAAATACATTTATTTACTTTTTTTTTTTAATTCCATCTTATTTCCCTAGCTTCGGTGAATAAATATCAGAATAATTTCTCATTTTGTTAATCTTCGGATAAGGTGACGAGGTGACAAGAGAATCTTGACGTTTTGTGAAAGGAGTTTGACAAGTGTTGTTGATGATAAGCTTTGCCAGGTCAGAACGATGGTGACAAAGATTAATATGAATATTTACAAAAATGGTCATTGATTTATAGGATATTTTTCACAATAAACCCGCAACTATCAATTCTAACACCTTGGTCCTCAATATATTTGAAGTTCGTAAAGCACTTGGAAGCTAGTCATAGACGATTGTCGGAGAAATTCACAGGAGTTAAGAACAGAGATAAGCAACAAAACAAATCAGGGCCCGGATCTAAAGGACTTGAGTCGGGTTTTTTTTCTGTGTCATGTCTAACCGGTCTAGACAACAGACCTTGAACATGTCGAATATTCATAGTATAGCCTTATCTAAGGTTTATGTAAGCCGGACAAAACAGCATGACAACTTTAACCATGTTATTATGGGTCTGTTTGGGTATTGCCCTTATTTTAGATTTTTCATATTGGTATCAAATTTTAATACTAATAAATCAAAAGGATGCATTTATATGGCTTTTATGTTTATTTATTGTAATTTAAATATTCAATAGTTGAGATATAACAAGGTAGTACTTTATCAACTATATAAAAAATAAAATAAATAAATAAATAAAACCCTAGGGGTTTTATTTAACTTTGTATCTCTACTTCACGGGGTTAGGTTTTTTTTTTTTTTTTGTATCAGCTGTTGAGTGAAAAGAAACAGTTTTATACATTTGAATGCATTAAGTCACTTATCAGATATGCTAAGCTGGTGTTTCTTTGACGTAATAAACTAAAAAAGAAACAGCAGCTAAGCTAGTATTTCTTTTTGAACTGAACGTAGATATATAGGTGTGCTTATATTTAGCTTAACATATAAACCATGTCTTAGTGGGTTAAATTAAGAAATCTGACTTTTTATGAATTCAAAATAAGAATTTCTAAACCAAATAATCCAAAATAGCAAGATAAGAATTTCTTTTTCAGACCAAATAATCCAAAATAGCAAGAGGAGGTAAAAATACTTTATGTTCATGGTACCCAAACATAATAGTCAAACAGTAATACGAAACCCAGGTGGTAGAGTAGATTGCTACTATTATAACAGAAAACATTCTGCTGATAATGCAAGCAACAAGTGTTTATGGATTCATTTATAGACTTAGTAGAAGTAGATTACTACTTTGGGCCGATATCCTTAAGAGCACAGATCTGCTCCTCTCCCATTGCTGACATCACACTCACCACCAAGTCCTTTCCCTCTGCAAATCCATCCTTGATCTACAATTCATCCATATAAAAAAAAAACACTTCCTTCAAATCTTCAAAAACATTTACATATCTATATTAATACAATTGAACATCATAACAACATACCTGAGTCAGGAGAGCATCATCAGTTGGGAGCTTGAGGTCATCTTTAGTGTTGCCATTTTCAGTCAGCAAACTCACCTAACAGAGATTTTCTTTCTTATCAGTTACTATAATCATAACTTGAACAAAAAAATACCAATTAACAAAGCTTGAATTGAATGAACCATACAAATCCATCCTCAGAGATATCAATTAGCTGGTAGTCAGTGCGGTTGACATGAGGAACCTGCAAACAGATATATTATCAAAAAAACAGTTGATTTTATAAAAGAGACAAAAAGACTGAAAAAAAAAAAAAAAAAAAAAAAAGTGGATTGATTACTCACATCACAGTTATGGGATGAGGGAACAATATCTTCAAGCTTTTTACCATTGAAGATATCAATGGCGACAAAGTGACACTTAGCATGCCCATGCTTCCCAGTCTTGGAGGTAGAAACTTCAACAACCTGTTACAATTTAATGCATTAAACACAAAATTTCTAACAAGATAACATACTACACAGTTATATTAATCATTGAGTAAGATCAGACTCTCAAGAAATCACCATACAGTAATTACCAATCAGTGAACAATTTACAATTGATGCAACCGACAAGAACAAAGAGATTCAATGAAATAGATCTAGGTCATATAAGCTATGGTCAACTCTAATAGCCCTTACTGTAGCTTATAATGAAAAACTAAATGCTTTGACACGAAATTATCAAAATATCGGAATCATAGCCACTTTCAACCAAAAAACTCAAACTGAAATTTCGCAATAATCAGTCGCACATCCAAACATTCCTTGAATCTAACATACACAAAAAGTAAAACCCTAACACTCGAAGTCAAAACCAAATCAACTCGAACCAGATGAAGATATT